TTTAGAGCTGTAACGACAATACCGTGATACTTTTGCTTAAGGTTATCATACCGTCAAAATCTCATACCGGCCCATGCCTATTTATTGTATACTTGCAAAAAAAATTGTTTCACTTGTACACAGTCAGAGAGCGGGTGAGAGAAAAAAAATAGTGTTACATTTACATTTAAAGTGTTTAGCAGATGCTCTTATCCACAGCGACTTGTGAAGTTCACATTTGAGACTGTTTTGATCAACAGATGGCAATTTGTAATTTACAATGTGATCTGCTAGGAAAATAAAGGCTTCCTGTGCAAATACAAACAAGTACTAACTGGTACATTTAAACCTTATACGGATACAATAAAACCTTGTTTGAATAAGCCAATACAAGATTTGCTTACTTGAGTCTTGAGCCTGCATGTTGAAAAAAATCACCTTCACAAAAGCTCATTAAGATCGATTGAACCAATTTTAGGGGAACGTAATGACCAATTAGCCTTGCCTGATGGCACAGTATAGTCTATTGAAGTCAAGACGTGCTGACTTGCATCTATATTCCAGACCTCCGGCCAAAAAAGGTGTTGCTTTCATTACTCTTAAGTACAATTGTTACAGGATCTCTATCTCGTCCTGAGAAGTTTCTTTGGTTTCAGCACCACAGTCAGTGGACAGTTCCAGTAAGTGCTTCCTGCAGCCAGCATTACACTTCTTATTACTTTTTCAATGGTTTTAAATTACTTTAATTGGCTACTGTAGCATATCTGAAAGAGTGTATTAATTTTAAATGGCAGTTTATTGTAGTGCAATTGCTAATTATGCTGACTAGGCCTATACCAGAGTTTTGGCTAAAGAAACCTAAAAATGTGCTTCCTTTGGTAATGTCTAAATCGACAGGTTTTATTGAATTCAAAATTAGTATTTTATGTGACTAAATCAACCTAGATAGATGCTCCACCTAAAGTCATTTTGTAAGGGTAAGATTAGTCACTGTGCAATTTATACAATTTATACATGACTTTCAGGGGGATTGACATTTTTAAATGGAATTTAATGGACCCTTTTCACATTTCAGGGGGTCCTCAGAAGCAGATGCCATCATAGTTGGGTAAACTTCTATAGTGGTGAACAGAAACTACTACAAATATAATTTTTGCGCTCCAATAGCAAAAGAAAAAACAATCCATGATAGCGTTTCTATAACCTTACAAAAGAGGAGAAAATATAGAGAGACTGGTCGGAAGAAGAATTTTCCGTCACTCCCTCAGACTTTGTATTAGAAACATCTATGCAGCAGTGTTAACTATATACATTAAGGTAATATAACACAAAGTATAGTGTTATAAATGTACATTAATGAAAACAAATTAAAATGCCAGATTTATGATGTTAACAACTGTTAAAACTAGTCATCAGTCTGTGAAAAGGTGATCTCAAATAGTCTTTTTAGCACAGTAACATCAACTATATTTTACATTTTTAAACAAACCCAAACGTTTTTATGATAAATTCTATAAAAACATTGAAGTGATAACGTGACAACAAACACATGAAGCTTTGTGCAATGATGCTTATATTAATCAAACAGTAAAAACGACCATTCCCGCCCAAAACAACACGACTTTAGATGAAAATTCGAAGCAAGCACTTGTGGCACAAGGTTATCCTGCACCACTTCACAGACGATAAGTGGAAAGAGAATTTTAGATCCACACGACAGTCATTTGCACATGCGCAAAACTTTACAATTTCGGTTTTCAGTCAGATCAAGTGTTTATATGGCCTATCACACGGATTAGAAAAGGTTTATCCAACCCCTCTCAACCCGACTGAAACTTCAATCGGTTTGGGCATTTTTATTCCGATTTGAGGTGTTTGCATGGAGCATTTTCATTCAGATTGGACTTTTAAACCGTGGAAATGTAAATGTAAATGCGCTTGTGTTTTGACGGTGTTCCTTCCCGATAATGTAGGCCTACTGTTGCTTTGGTTACCTCTTCAAGCAAAAACTATAGATTTCTTTTGCGAACGTCAGTTTACCGTCAGATGAAAATGGGCGCCCTGACTAATTTATAATTACTTTGTGCTTACGAACCCAACCACTGGCAGAAATGGCTCCATAAATAACAACTGCACGTATCTAAGTAAGCTATTATAGTTTTTTATTTAATTATTATTTTTGTATTTAATTATTATTAAATAAAATGCACTATATTAAATCAACACGTTTCCTGCCCTGCTAAGATTAATCATACAGTGTATATTATTTGTAAGTTAACACAGTTACACAGTTAACACAGACTAACCAGATAGATAGATAGATAGATAGTAAAAGGCTTAACTCACTGATTGCATTGCAGCGCCAAAAACTGCCCACGTTCAGCTGAAAGCTTTATTATTACTCTCCCTCAAATCCCTCTTTAGCAGAAAGAGAGAGAGTCAGCGCAGTGCGAGATAGAGAGAGAAACAGAGGAAAGCTCTGCTTTACACTCATTTGGACTCGGAGCGCGGATCGTTTCGGCGAAGGGATAGAGTACCTGCGATCGGACATCCAGCAAATTCATAAGAGAGTTGACCGGCCAATTGAAGACATGCGCTCACTGGTTTGAAATCACGCGAGCTAAAACATCGCTCAGATTAAAAAGTACCACAGTAGGCTACTGAATTAGCACTGGAATGTGTATTTTCACATCACTCTACAGACGTGACTTTTTGGAGGGTGTTTGAGGAGGACATGACCTCAGTTGAAGTGTTTCTTGTATTGGATATAAACAATAAACGCTTGAGTCTGTGGAACTGAACAATCCTGGCAACTCCAGAGCAACATCCAGTAACGACGTCTGGGCTGGAGAGCAGGTGCTTGTCTCTTCTTAAAGAGGAAAACAGACAGAGGATGTGACCGAAATATGGGACAGTGTTTCCGATTAGCAATCACAGCAGATTCGTATTTTATCGGCGTGTCCTTGTAACGCCGTCCAGTAGCCTACTGACTGAAGCGACCGGACCAGCGCACAGAGACGTCCTCCGGCTACTTCCACTCGGTGAAACCCCTGCGAGATCACCTCCAAAGTAACTTGCACGCCTGGTCGTCCCTGGAGCCCGCTCATGGGTGCCGCTGGACCGGATGGCGTGCTACTACCTTGTGATCAGCTCCACGCATCTCAGCAATGGACACTACCGGAGCATCAAAGGAGTTTTCCGGGGTCCACTCTGCAAAAGCACCGGAGGCGAATCACCGGTAATACTACTCAATCGTCGTTTTTGTTTATTAAAGATATCGCCACGATGCGCTATTAGGAACTCATTAAGCACGTTTTGTTGGTTTGGATTGGTTTTACGCTCTAGTTGTCTCAGTTAAAGTATGTTTATAAAACGCATGTGACAGCAAAATCTGGACATATACTTTTTTGATGGCCATATAGGCTACTAAGTGGGAACACCTTTGAATGAAATGGAAACGAGAGGATTTAATGAGCTAACTCATGTCATCAACATGACTTGTAATTTGCATTAGACAGTGAAATCCTAAAAACATTGTGTTTTATGTAGTATGGATGAGGGACTTTATGTATGTAATGTGTAAGGCATCACTGCATAGCCTATATCTCAGATGATGCCAGGCTTGTGAGTCCATGAGGCATTTGTGACTTTATTTGTGCTGTGATCACAGACCCCTGACGCTCTCCTAACAGAGACTGATGGCAGGTCTTGCTCTGTTGGGCTCAGATTGAGCTATATGTTAAACTTTGACCTCACTATTCTGGTACTAACCCACCTATGGATGTCACAACGCCATGCTTACAAGCTTCAGCAACTGAATGGGAAATTCTCTGATGGTCCTAACCATACGAAAACAGATTTAACTTTATTTCCTGAAATGTCTGTCATATTTGAGGACATACTGTTATTACTTTATCACCAACTACAAGTGAATCCATGTCCCTTACTCTAAAAAAAAATATATAAATAAAATAAAGGTCTAGAACCAGTTTTCACTTAGAAATTGCACAAATAATTACAAAGAAATGGCAAGTAACACATTGAATTAAACATGACATTTTGACATGAAGTAGAAAAACTAAAATTGTATTTTTATTTTTTATGTATTTCTTTGATTAACATACTCCAAAAATATTTGTTTTATTTACAACATTTAAAAACTTTACAGGGTATACTGAAATTTTTTTTGTAGGATTTACTTTGAAACAATTTTCTTTACGAAATTGCTGGTAAATTTCACAAATTACAAAGGCAAATAGCATGTAATATTTAATTTAACATCAAATTTAGTAGTAAGACTAAAATTTTATTTTCTTATAAACATACTCCAGTAAGTAACGTTTTTTTGTTTGTTTGATTGTTTTACAACTTTTAAAAAATAATTTTGCTGTGTAGTGTTTTTTGTCATCCATATGTATGTGTAAAGGTCATGATACATGGGGCAACTTTTTGAGCAGTGTTGCTGGGCAATGTTTCCGTCAGTGGGAAACCAGGTGAGACACAGGGCCCTCGACCGGTCTAAAGAATCCAGATAGAAATTGTTGGCTATTTTCAATGGGAAAGTGCCCAAGCAACATTGCTCAAAAAAGTTGCTCTGTGTATCATCACCTTAATTCTTTGGAGGGCATCACTGGCCTCTTATTCTGACGATATTATAGTTGTTTTTAGTCAGCATATTGAATGACTTTAAAGTTTCCTTTTGTTATTTAATGCTTCAAAAAGAGCTTGCAGTAAACCAGAATTTATATGAGATAAATGTCTTCTGTGAGACTTCAGTATAAATGCCCACTGCTATGATTGGCTAACATTTTTGAATATGAAATGAGCATTACAGGTGGAACTCTCTGGAAAGTTTTTGTTGCGTTGTTACTATAACAGCTGCCAAGATTAACTAATTGTGAAAATTGTTAATTATAGCCTTATTCTTAGGACTACTTCAGTCTTCCACAGTCTTCTGAAGTTTACAGAAACAAATTAATTTAAAACACTCACTGGATGCCTCAAGACTAAAACTGCACTTTATCTCTGCACATTCTCACATTTTCGAATATAGGCTGTTCTTTTTTCTTCCTTAAAAAAATAAATAAAATAATAATAATAAAATAAATATCTTTTTTTAAATTTTTGACTCTATGCCTCTAAATTTTTTTAATTAAATTTGGTTTAGAAATAAACACATACTTATCATAGAAGAGATACAGTCACTGTATGTATGAATTGCATTTTTTATGTATTCTTTGACCCCCTCAAAGGGGTTAATCCAAGTTTTCTTCCCCTAGACCAGCATACATTGCTATAAATGAGAGATTCTGTGCAGATTCTGCTAATAAAAGTCTTTAGAACAGCAAAAACAGCTGAATCTTCCTGCGTTTCCCTTGGGATAGCCTAAAGACCAAAACTAAACCTTACCAAATGTTCCCCATCATTGAGTCTCCTGTTTAACTCATTGGACTGGAATGTCTCAGTCTTAGTGAGGTGTCCCAGAGTACATATTTGAATTAGCTTTCTGCTACAGCAGTCAACACCTGTTCGAATGCCCTGTGGTTCACCCAGTGTCTTCAAACTCATCTTATGGGGCTCCATCTCTGCTTTTTGTGGAGAGGCTCCAAACAGATCTTATGCTGAACTTGCTCAGTATCTGGGTTATTCCCTCTCACTCCGCCCATGATGCTGTGTGGATGTTTGATGTTGAACTGCAGCAGGGACTCGGTTTGCATTCAAAATGCCGTCTCCCACCACATTTTTAAAACATGTATACCACTGAAGAGGCATATGTTGATAGCTCTGCCTGCATGAGTGAGACACAAATGCACAATTTATGTGCAGAGGCAATGAGTTTTAATTAGTTCTAAAACATTACAGCTATTGCGCTAGAGTGAAGGGACTTGTCAGTTTGTGTTGGCTGCTGCTGAGATAAAGAGGCATTTCTTCATGCTTTGAGTGCAAGTTTTTTTTTTTTTTTTGCAATTTTTCAGGGGGATCACCCAGGTTTTATTTTTCTTTGCATTTATCTAAAATAGAAATCTTTTGTAACATAATATGTCTTTACTGTGTCTTTTTATAAATTTGCTTCATCCTTGCTGAGCAGAAGTATTTTAATAATTTCTTTTAAAAATATATGTTAATAGCCTCAAATTTTTGAATGGTGGTGTATATTTTTAACAGAAATGCTTCACTTATTTTAACTAATATTTGAACTTTCATCAACAAAATCAAAGTCATGTGGTGCGACCAAAATGCATGTTGGAAATAATGATTCAAATGTGTGCCCCCACATGTATTCCCACAAGAGAAAAATGATTTTTTTACTTGGTTACACCACATGAATGTTTTCTTGGTCCAAAAATGCTTTTTCAAAACCGAATGAAACCAACAAGAGTACAAAGAGTCATTTTCTGAGAATCTGGCAAATGTTTTTCAAACTAGCTTTTTCTTTCCCTTCAAAGATTTTTTATTTATTGTGGACATACATCATTTACCCATTAAGTGTTTTTACATCATTGTACCATACTCAATGCTATAGGTCTGAGCAATAGTTCTACAATGGATCATAATGGCATGACGTTAGCTGCAGCAGTCACCATTTCATGTTTTACCTGACTAGTCAGATGACCTTTAATGACTCATGAGTGTTATGGTCAGGAAATGTCAGGGTGATTTGAAAACCACTGGCTACCTAATGTCTTTTTATTTAACAAGGATATATCATTGCTAGAATAGTTACAGATTATGGAGTTTGCTGTTCTTGCTACTTGCATATTAGCTCTTAAATTCTTCTGAACTGCTGCCAGTCGACTTATATAATGCTCGTTAAGAGCTGCCAGAGAAACTGTTATCTGTGATGGCACAACTTGCATTTTTGACACAGTACCAAATAAAGAAATTAATTAACAAAAACAAGCAGGTGCTCCTAAGTCTTTTGGCCCATAGGGCTGTCATGTGGAGAGGCAGTTGTCCAAGTGCACCCTACAAACACACACTAATGAGTGTATACTGTAGTAAAATGAGTCCAGATGTAAGAAGTCTTAGTTGCTATATATATATATCTCTATGTTTATATATATATATATATATATATATATATATATATATATATATATATATATATATATATATATATATTGACAGCCAATAGATTTAAGAAATTTGAAATAATTTGAAAATTAAAAAAAAAAAAGTGTCAAATAAACATATTTTAGATGACAACTTGATTCTGTAATCCTATTACAGTATTTTTCACAAATAAAGAAATATTAAAAATTTAAATAAATAAAAAAGAAAGTAAACACTGCAACCAACAGGGCACTCAGTAATCTGGGACGTTTGTGTGCGCTGGGAATCATATTTTTTCAAATAAAACCAAGGTAACACTCATTATTTCATACAGCACACAGTGAAAATGACATGAATATGACAGCAGGCAAATAGATAAAGCACAGCATAGTTTGAAATCACGCGTTTAATGTTTGTCCGCATTCAATTTGCACGGTCCGACCATCACACAGACTACATGCGATCATGCAGGATACAAATGCACACTTCACAAGATCTCACAGCTGGATTCGATTAAGTCACACTTCACAAGATCTCACAGCTGGATTCGATTAAGTCTGTAAGGTTTGAGAAATTAAATGTTTTTTAGACGTTCAAAGATTTGTAAATGCATATTTGCTGAATGCTGATGGTAATCGAGAAAGTATTATAATGTTTATCTTTCTATTACTAATAATATAAAAGCAATCATTATAATATCTTTTTTGTATACCTCCTTTGTTTAACAGTTCAATCTGATTATTAGACGGACTTCTATCGGTATCAGGCAGAACTGTTAAATGGCGACAGCTAACAATGAAGAGGGAGAATGTGAGGAGGTACCTGTCTCAGCACAGTCAAAATAAAAGTCCCGCCTCAAACACATCGGCAACAGAAATAATTATCGGCCGATGCCTATATTTGAAAAACACCAAGTATTGGCCGATATATCGGTTGGCCTCTTTGAATATACTGTATATAAGAAGTGGTTGAACAGTATGTGTATATATATATATATATATATATATATATATATATATATTTTATTTCTCTATCTCTTCACTCAATATCCCCCACTACTCATTTCCATATAGCAAAAAATATTTTTTCTAATATATATATATATATATATATATATATATATATATAATTTATTGCTCTATGACTTCACTCAATATGCATAAAAATCACCTTGCCCTGTTATATTTATTTAGTTTACAAGCTTTGGTATCTTTTTTGGCATGTGATTATGTGGTTCAGCGTTACAGTATACAGTATGTAATGTTATAGTTAGGTGCTTTTATATGGCTTGATAATAAGTTGTGTATCAAATGTTTAAAGGTTAATTTGATACTTTATTTGTTCTTTTTCTCTCTCTCTTACATTGCAAATGGCTTACTAATGATTCCGGCCATTCTGGTAATGAGTGGCTACTGCTGTACTTAGCTCAGCACATTTTGAGGAGCTTTAGCGCTGTTGCTGTGCTAATGGAGTGTAGCAGTCGGCATTCAATATTCAGCCCCAGGCCCAGCTGCAGTCGTCCTCTGAGTTTGCCTGTCTGAAACTCTTTGTGTTGGGGTCCTGACGTTAACACGGCCAGGGAGCTCTAATCATACAGGAAGGCTAATGAATCACTCTCTCCTTTCGGCTTACGGTGCAGAAAAATACAAACAAAAGCGTGCACACAAACACAAAGACTTCGCTTAACTCACACAGATGGACCCTTTTTACTTAAACACATTTGTAGGTCATTTCTGCAGTGCTAATTTGCCCGATTAACTGATTAAATGCTTTATGAGAGTCTAATTAATCAAAGAGGTCATCCTACATTCGCATACACACAGCGGCACATTACAGCACTTCCCTGTGCCTCCAGTCTTTGCCTTTAATCTGAAAAAAATCCTGATATAGCATGGGAGGAAGTAACAATAGACGAGAATCCATTGTTTTCAAACCGTAGGCAGAATTGGATGTTCATTAATGGCCCTCACTTACTGTAATTATGCAGTGAATTAAAAGAAAGGCGAGGTAGAAGATAGAATGAAATAGAGAGAGTGAGTGCCTGAGGCTGACGCAGCTCAAAGTATCTCAGCCTCGCACTGTTTTAACAAGGTTGGTGAGAGGCAGAGAGAATGACAGAATGGGTCTTGCTGGGTACCGGCAAATACACAGTCTAAATGGCTTGAGGATTTTCAAACATGTTTGAAAGCAATTTGTCCAGGCACTCAAAGGCCATTCTAATCAGGGGAAATGATTGTTAATGGCCTGTAAGTGTTTCTAAATGGGTCTAGAGGAGAGAGAAGGAGGGGGAGAGAGGAATGCTTTCACATCTGTCTCTAAAGTGCCTTGTTCCCTCTGTCTTTTCAAGAAAATCTTTTCTAAGAATAATGGTTAATGATAAGCTTCATTTGAGAAATGAATGCAATGCTGATAAACAAGATAAGCAAGAATATTATTTAAGTTATCTCGATCCACTGATCCAGCTCAGTCTGGCGGTGTCCAAAAACCATAGACAGCCATATTTCAGATGCCATTTTTACATTTTTCAAACATTTTTCTCTAAAATATATTAAAATATAAATTGCAATTTGTAAATATTTGTAATGATGTAATAATTATTTGAAATTGTAGTAATAATTCACAATGTTACTATTTCACTGTATTATTGATCAAATAAATGTGGCCTTTGTGAGCATGAGATACTTCTTTCATAAGCATTAAAATAATCTTACTGACCCCAAAATTTTGAATGAGATTTATATTGTTTTATTATTACTTTTTTTAACGCTCGAGGTTATGCTTATAAGGTTGTGTGTTCTTGTGTTGAGTAAAAAATATTTTCTAGGTGAAGTTGGGAGGCCGGTTACTACTGTGAATTGCTACAGTAAGTCTGTTGTCATGGGGATAACATTGCCAGAGGTGAAGGTGGAAGTTGTGTGGTTCCCTTGATAGACCACATTTTTTGTTGCATCAAATGATTGGGAAAAAATGAGAGAAGGAAAATGTGAGCACTTCTGTGGCTAGATATGGACTGTGTTTGAGAGGTTTGTGAGGTGAAGGTGAAGACTAAATGTCCCCAATCTGAAATAACCACCATTGTGTGAACCAGCGATATGTACGTTATGAAAAATGGATATTAACTTTTTCTCACATTAATGAGATTTTCTAAAGATTGCTTTTCTAAAGAATTATTAGTGTTTTTAAAGATTAACCTTAAGTGAGGGTTACATAATGGCAGAGGTAATCGAAACATAAAAATATGGGAATTGAGCATGCAAAATTAAATATCCTGTTACCAATTAATCTAATATCAGCCAGTAATGTACTGTATATGGTACCAATATATCCAATATACTGTGTAGTGTACTGTTTTTCTCCCAGAGCTATGTGTCTTAATTCATGATTTGTGTGTCAAGATAAATTACTGTGTAGTGGATCACAGTTATGTGTGTGTGTGTGTTGCTGTTGTTGTGAATGTATGCATGAAGTTGTTGTGGAGCTCTAATTTTGAGTACAAAGCTGAGCAGAAACCATCCGTTGAGAGTACTAATTAAAGCCTGGAGATTTTTCAGACAGTGTGTTCTGACATTTAGACACACAGTAACCTGCTATAAACAAACTTCAAGAGAGAGGTTTTAATATGAGTTATGCTACCTGTCACTGTCAATACGGCTGCCGATGTAATCTATGAACTAGAAGATTTCTCCAGAGAGAATGTGTGTGTGGATTTTAGTGGGCGATGAAGAAAAGTGAGGAGCTGAGGAATACAGTCAGTGATGGTACAACAAGCAAGCTAATTTTAATTCGGCTGATAAGGCTGCAACGGGGTAAATTTAATACAACAGAAACAAAATAATAATGGCACTTTGAGAGTGGAGGGAGACTCATTCTCTGTGTTTTTCAGCATCCAAATCAGTAGAATGAGAGCCGATGCTGCTTAATAACAGAATTATTCATGCTTTTCCTTTCCACTTTATTCTTGCAGACATTAAAATAAACTATACTTCAATTTACTGGGCCAATCCCAAACATTCCCTTCTCCAGCAGAAAGCTTTGTCTCCCTGGACACTACTTCACAGCAGCTGTTTTCATGCACACGTTTCTGAGGAAACCCGTTTACCTCAGAAGATATTTCAGTGGTTATTAGTAGATGTAGGGAACAGTAATTGCATTGTCACAGCAAGCACCAAAAAAGCATACAGGCTCACTAATCATCAGTTTAACTACTGTTTCAATCACCTTATCTCTGCGCCTCTGCTATCCATTAAGCATCTTGACTAACTGTGCTTGCTAATTTAATCGTAGGTGGAAGTCTGGGTACAAAATTAACACTTGACAAGAACCAAATGTGAGTAAAAATGGGCTTTCTCTAGTAAATAAAATACAATGACTTGCCAGTTGGCTGGTAGACTTATAGGGGAATAAACAGCTAAATATTGTCATAGTGACATTACAAATAATGCAAAATACCGTTTTCTGGAAAAT